CTGCAAATTTCATTATTTCATCTTTCTTTACTGCTGAATAGAATGCCACTGTGTAAATACCACATTTTTGTTAACCACTTGTCAGTTGAGGGGCACTTAGGTTGCTTCTATCTCTCAGCTATTGGGGACACAGACTCTTAATGTTATGGCCAAGACTGGGCCTGCCCATGTGGGTTAATGATCCCTGGCGGAAGGGAGACTGGAGGCTTGGTAGATAGTCTTGCCTGCGAGGTAGAAAAGTCAGGGACAGGTTTACTGCGATACAGGGTCTCCCTGATGCCTATTAAAAGAGGCAGGTTTCAGCTCTCCCCCAAGGTTGCCTAGTGGCATTCCCACACTCATACGGGCCATTAACAGCATTCTCCCACCTTTTATGTGGTTGGGAGGATCCTCCTATGCCCGATGAAAGGCAGGTGTGATACCAGGTCTCAATGTGAGACCTGGTTGCCCTCCAGTCCTCTCTCTCTGGGTCAGTCCCACATAGCAGAGACATGGCCAGCTGCACGTACCTCCTAAGTTCCAGCCGCAGGGTCAGGAACTTTAGTTCCTGTTCTGCTGTGGTGCCCAAGCTGGGAGCCCACAGTGGAGTCAGTGTAGTAACCTACTGTGGGGGGAATCTTGGGGGCTGAACCACAGGCGACTTGGGGGCTTTGGCAGCCGAAGCCTGTGTGCCGTAGGGTCCTCTAGGATTGCAGTGAATTACAGACGGCCTTTGTGTAGTGGGGGTGGCTTTGGTTACCGAGTGGGAGGCCTTTGTGGTCCCACTCCCCCCTGCATCACCACGGTGTCTGTCAACGAGAGCCTGCTCACACCCCTCAACCTGGAGCTTGACCCCAATGCGCAGTGCGTGAAGCATGAGGAGAAGGAGCAGATGAAGGGCCTCAACAGCAGGTTCGCCGCCTTCATCAGCAAGGTGGGTGTCCTGGAGTGCATTGTCACACCTCTCAACCTGGAGCTTGACCCCAATGCGCAGTGCGTGAAGCATGAGGAGAAGGAGCAAATCAAAGGCCTCAACAGCAGGTTCGCCGCTTTCATCAGCAAGGTGGGTGTCCTGGAGTGCATTGTGCCTGATCTGGACCTGTCTGTGTCATTATCCCTGGCGTTGCAGCTTAGGAAGAGGCAAGGGACTTGGAACCTGATGATGGTTTGGGTTCTAGTTCTCCCGCTGCCAACTATCATGTAGCCTGGAGAATGTAGCTGGACTCTAGTCTTGGCTTTCAAATGTTGCTGTGGGTGGGATTCAAATGCATTTGATGAACAGGAGGGTTTACCGTTGCTACTTACCTACCCAGTGAGTGTCATAAACCTGATGATGGTTTGGGTTCTAGTTCTCCCGCTGCCAACTATCATGTAGCGTGGAGAATGTAGCTGGACCCTAGTCTTGGCTTTCAAATGTTGCTGTGGGTGGGATTCAAATGCAGTAACGGATATGAAACCACCACACAGAACAGGAGGGTTTACCGTTGCTACTTACCTACCCAGTGAGTGTCATGTGTGTCTGTGACTCCACTTTCCAGGTCCCAGACACGGCATACAGAAGCATTGTGGGGGTGGGCCACAGTTGTGTCTCAGAGGAGGTGCGAGCATCCTGGCACTAAATGGGGACTGAGAGGGTCTAGAGGCTCCTTCCCTCCTCCCCACTTTTTGGGGACACCCTAGCAAGTCAGTGAATTGGGCAGCAAGTCAGCAAGGACTTCTGCCCAAGCCACTCTCTGGCTCTACACTAGCAGATTGAAAGACTGGAAGGAAGGTCCACAGAGAGGCTTTTGGACTGCTTTTCTTGCCCGTAGGCAAAGGTACTACATTTTTTAACTTATTATTTTCATTTTATGTGTATGAGAGTATTGCTTGCATGTATGTGAGTGCACCCATGTCATATATGGATTTCCCGTGGAGGTCAGAAGAGGGTGTCTGATCCCCTGGAACTGGAGTTATGCGGGTGCTGGAATTTGAACCTGGGTCTTTTGCAAGGTCAGTGCTCCAGCCCTTGCATTCTTTTTAGGCAAGGTTTTGTCATGTAGCCCAGGCTGGCTTGGAGCTCACTATGACTACTGTGGGTCTCTCAAGTGCTGGGATTGCAGGCATATAGTAGTATATCCTGGCTGAATATCAATTCTGGTCATTACTGTGGAGTCATGCAGGTTGTCCATTTCACCTCACACACAGAGAGCTGGAGTCCAGCCTGTGGTTTGTTTGGTGGCCTGCCTAGAGGGAGCATCTTTTCCTAATTGCTTTTCGAGCATAGAAAGGCTCTGGGCACCACAGACTCCAACAGCACATGGCTTTCTGAGTGTCACACATGGGTGCTGTAATAGCTGCTTTTTGTTGCTATGTTAAAACACCATGGTCAAAATCAACCTATGAAACTGTTTATTTTGGCTTATGGTTCCAGAGGTGGAGCCCATAATGGCAAGGAAGGTTTGCAGCAGGTGGCCAGGGCAGAAAGTGAGAGACCGCGTTTCATCACATAGGAAGCCAAGGGGGGAGAGGCCAACTCTCAAAACCTGCCCCTAGTGACATACGTCTTCCAGCAAAGCTCCGTGACCTAAATGTTCCACACCCTCCCCCTCAAACAGTACTACCAACTGGGGACCACATGTTCAAATACATGAACTTTTGGGGGACATTTCTCAAATCACCGCAGGTACTGCTCTCCCTGTTGAAAGGGCTCAATGTCTGGTCTGGGGAGAGACTCACTAAGCCAGCCGATATCCACTCACCCCTCCAATAGCATTTTTTCAGGCTCTAAACAGCACCGAGCTGCAGGCTGCCAGCTGCATTGGTGTGGTGGGTTTCATCCTATAGAGCAGCAAAAAGCCAAAGGGCGACCTGACTCCCTGGGCCTGCAGGCTACAAACCAAGGCTTCAGGACTTTTGGATAATCAGGGCTTTGATTCCCCCAAAGCATGGACATTTGTGAGTTCTTTATGTCATGCTGGCATACCAGGTGTTGGGCTTGAGAGAGATTACCTGGTTTAGAACTGGCATGGACAAACTTAGGTGGGAGCATGGCAGGTCACAGAACAAAGCCAAATAGAAAGGCATGCCTTTGTGGGGGGCAGAGGCTGACCTAGCACTGTAGAGCTTCTGAGTATAGGACTGGGGTCCTTGTTCCTTGCTGCCTGGAATCTAAGGGCTGCTTCTAGAGACTGCCTGCAGCTCTTAAGGAGCGGCTCCTTCTTCCTCCGTCCTCACAGTAATAGTGCATTGACTGGGTCTCAAATTTCAGATCTTTCTTCTGCTTCCATCTCGTCACTGTTCTGCCTCCCTGTTTCCTCTGAAGGGCTCCTGTGAGATTTTAATATTTATTATTATATATTAGTTATAGAATATTTTCATGACATTTCCATATACTTTTGTAATGTATTTTATTATCTACCTCTCCTATTTCTCTCATCCCCCCACCCCCTCTCATCAGGCCGCTTCCTCTTCTAAATACAGATTTTATAGAAATCTATATTCTAAATTTGGGAGAAAATATGTATATTTATCTTTCTGAGTCTGGTTTACTTTGTGTACCATGATGAGCTCCAGTTCCATCCATTTTCCTGCAAATTTAATATTGAATTCTTTATGGCTGAATAAAACTCCATTATGCCTGCCTATCTCTCTCTCTCTCTCCCTCTCTCTCGTTTTTATCCATCCACCTGTTGACAGACTCCAGCACCGTTGGCTATTGTGAACAGTATAGCAATAAGCATGGGTGTATAGGTCTCTCTGTGGTGTATTGACAGATTCTTTTGCAATACACCCAGGAATGGTATAAACGGGCCACATGGTAGGTCTGTTTTTAGTTTTCTGAGAAACCTCCACACTGTCTTCCATGTGATTGGACTAATTCACATTTCTACCACAGCATATAAGGGTTCCTTTCTCTATATCTTTATTTCTTTTCTTGATGACAGCCATTCTAACACTGACATTGCCCTTTGTCCACCAGGATAATCCAAGAAAATGTCCCAGTCTTTAGCTCCACAACCTTAATTCCAATAGCAAGATCCATTTTTCTAGGTACATGACACATTCGTAGGTCCCAAGGATTGAGACATGGACACCTTTGAGGACTCATTGCTTGGTGTGCCACACATAGTTCATTCTGTGCAGAATGACTACATGACTGTGAGTTGTGTGTTTTTCCTGAGAATGGTAATGAGTGAAAGGGAAATCACCTGGGGATGATTATGACTTTTGGAAAGTCACAGTTTTCTTCAGGACAAGGGCCAAACCCGATGGCAGAGAGCTCTGGGGGAGCTGACACCTTTCCCAAGCTCCCCCTGAGTCTCTTCCTTCCCCCTGAATGGCAGGTGCGCTTCCTGGAGCAGCAGAACAAGCTGCTGGAGACCAAGTGGCAGTTCTACCAGAACCGCAAGTGCTGTGAGAGCAACCTGGAGCCGCTGTTCGAGGGCTACATCGAGACACTGAGGCGGGAGGCCGAGTGTGTGGAGGCTGACAGTGGGAGGCTGGCCGCTGAGCTCAACCACGTGCAGGAGGCCATGGAGGGCTACAAGAAGAGGTGAGCATGATGGGGCTGAAGCATTTACAGGGAGTAGAAGAGGCTTGAGTTAAGGCCATGCCACTCTTCTGGGCATGCTGAAGGTCAAGGTCAGCTCTGACTCTCTACTGGCTGGTTCTGCTGTCTAGCCTCAGTTCCAAGCTTTCCTCATACAGGGACCTAGGACGAGTCTGGAGAGAAGTGTTTCCAGTGTGGGAAGGGTGCAATATACTATTGAGTGCACAGACTGACAGAAATGGAGCGAGAAGACCAAATGAAACGGAAGACACAGGCTTACCAGAACTGGAAGAGCAGTCATCACCATGTGAACAGAGAAAGGCCCTGGGGGAGGCATCCCGAGGATCTCTGATGCCTCTCAAAGCACCAAAGGAAAGAGGTCTTATTCTGCTACCACCCTGAAGATAAGCCAGCCAGATCCCCTTTGGTGGACTCCACAGTTCTACGCCAGTGTAAATCATTTGTTTTCAGCCTGACATGTTTACTAGTCTAAGTTCACTAGGTCACTGTCGATTCCCTTGTCTTTACCTTGTAGGTATGGACAGAGTGAAAGATGGTGAGGATGATGATGATTGTTATTTTATAATACTGGATATAGAACTCAGAACCCTTTTGCATGTTAAGCAAGTGCTGTACCATTGGGCTATATCCTTAGTCCTAGGAAAGGAGATTTCGCATCAGTCTGTCCTAGTCATTCTAACCTTGACTGTCTTAGAATCAGGTGTTGGAAAACCAACTTTTACTATCATAAGGGACACAGTAGGAGGGTTTTCCTTTCCTTGGGGGAAGAACAGACACTCATACACCTTTTGGAGGGCAGGTGTCCAGGTCTGGTTTTCAATTGGGCATGCCAGGGCTGGAAATTATAGAGCTGAGGGATAAGTGCAGCCCAGGATTGGCCTGTAATGAAGAAGTCGTGAGAATCATGCTCTGGGGGAAGAGCTCTTTATGTCAGTGGGGCCATGCTGCTCCAGACTGTCACTGGAGGGGAAGGGCCAGGCTGGTGGAGAGTGCCTTGGATTAGGAATTACTTTTAGAAATTCAAGCTCTAGTATATTGTGTGGGGGACTGGAACCTCAGAGAGGTGGTTTTAGAGAGCTTCATGGTTTGTACAGTGTTAGAGTTGAAGGCCTCTGAAAACAGCGCCGTCCCTTTCACTCATCCTCACTATGGCTTGTTTACTGTACAAGACACACAGACATTAAATGACTCACCTCAGCCTTACTGAGACTTCAGTCCAAGCTGGCACTAAAGTCCATTATCCTTAGCAGGGGATCCTTGTGACCGGGAAATCTAAGTCTAAGAAGTCAAGCCTGTTTCTCGGAGGCACATGGAAAGTGACGGAGTCCAGGAAGGCTTGCTGCTCAGACTCTGGCTGGCCAATTTCCCTTGTGCCCTCTCCTCAGGTATGAAGAGGAACTGACCCTCAGGGCCACGGCTGAGAATGAGTTCGTGCAGTTAAAGAAGGTGTGTGGCTTCCTGTGGGGTGAGGATGAAGCCATTGGAGACTGGAGTCCTGCCCTGTCAAGTTCCCATGAATCCAGTGGTTGATGGCAAGGCTTTCTAACCTGCTGGCTGGTTTGCCTGCGGAAGCCATTTTGGTCCTATGCAGTAACCCAGGCTAGTCTGATGGGGGCGTCTTAAGAAGATGTCAGGGGGCTGCTGCTGGGCTTTCTGACAGCAGCCGTTCTCCGAGATATTCTTGTTCACCTCTCCTGTAGGTGTGGCCTTCTCCTATCATCCCAGTTCGGGATCATTGGTTCTCAGCTTGTTAGTGATTTTTAAAGTGTGGTTGTCAGTCAATACCATAAGAAAGGGTGGGTAAAAAGACCAGGACAGAACTGCTTTCTGTTTCAGTCTGGTGAGTGAAAGTCCAAGTGCATGTTCTTTAACAGCTTACCAACCTCTGTGTGTGTCAGTAATGGGTAGAGTAGAGATAGGGCTAATCACTGGAGTCAGTGGAAGTCTGACCGGCCTCAGGCAGGAGAGGCAGCTATTCGATGGAGGGTGTTGCCTGCTCTGGGCTTTGCTGGTTGCCATATGCCTGTGCTCAGCGGGCTGCTTGACTGAGAGGTAGCTCCCGACATGCTGGTCTGTGGCACTAGGCTTCTTTTTGCAGCAAGCTATTTGTGGACGCCATTTTGGTCCTATGCAGTAACTTCAGCAAGCTGAAGTGTTTGTGAGAGACTTCTCTCTACTTCCTTTCCCCAAGTGTCTGGTCCCACTGCCGGTTACAGCAGGGAATGTCAGGGGCAGATAGCCAAGAGGGGCCCCGAAGGTGAAGACATATAGGTGCTGGATGCTAGGCAGAGGCAGGCTCTTAGAAGTAGAGAGGGGTGGCTGGGAGATTCCCTCTGGGCTCCTGTAGAGTGTGGAGACTCGGTGCATGGAGAGGGCATGTGCTCACACCCTCCCTCTCTTGTCCATTTCCATCAGGACATAGACAATGCCTACCTGCACAAGGCAGAACTAGAAGCCGACACTGAGTCGCTGAGGGATGAGACCACCTTCCTACAGTCCCTGTATGAAGAGGTAACAGAGCCCCCACAGGGTTCTTCCTGCTGAGACCCTGTTCTGGCCCCTGGGTTTGGGAAAAGTGTTTCATCCCTTATACTCCTTCCATTCCATTCCAATCTTCCTGTGACCAGAGGGGACTTTTCTCATGGTCAGGTCTTTCAAAATGGAAATGGGTGATGGCTCTCCTTTAAGATGATTTAAAAGACTAATTCATTCCCTGTCAACTTAGCATGGTACAAAGCAGAGATGGACAATTAAAGCATTAATTCGGATAGTGTAAAAACCCAAGTGGGACTAGAGGGAGACCCTGTCTCAAAACAACAACAACAACAACAACAACAACAACAACAACAAAAAACCCAAGTGGATGATCTGGGCCTCTAAGTCTGGCTACTGTCTGGTGGATTAGATTAGTGCCACAGTCCCAATTCCAGCCATTTTCTTAAAAGCCACATTTAAAATGACCAGACTTGCTGGTATTTTTCTGTTTTCCCTAAGGTTTTAGAGTTGGGGCCGTTGGACTTAGCAGCAAAGTCAGGATTGGAACTGAGGCCACTGGCTGTGTTTTCTACAGCAAATAATGTATCTTCAGTCCCAGATCTCAGAAACCTCAGTGGTGGTGAAGATGGACCACAGTCGGGGGCTCAACATGGACATGGTCGTGGCTGAGATCAAGGCTCAGTATGATGATATTGCCAGCCGCAGCCGGGCTGAGCCTGAATCTTGGTACCAGACTCAGGTACAAAGAGGGCTGTGCTTCCCTACTGAACAAAGAGCATAGCCCTTCATCTGGAGCATGCCTGGGTTGGGCACCCATGCATTCCATAGGGCTACAGCTGAGGGACCTGGCAGAGCAGGACAGGGAGGTGGGACTCCTGAAGAACTCAGAGCTGGCTAGTGAGACTCTCTTGTGGCATCCTACCTCACTCTCCAGCTACAATGTCTGCCTGTTTGCACCCAACTGCAGAGTCGAAGAGGTGAAAGTCACAGTGACACAGCAGAGCCAGAACCTCCACAAAGGCAAGGAGGAGCTCAGTGAGTTGAATCGTGTCATCCAGAGGTTGACGGCTGAGGTGGAGAATGCCAAACAGCAGGTCAGGACACCAAGGCCACCTGGGCACCTGCTGCTTAGCAGCTGGGCTCTGTTTCCTTCTTGTCTTTAGGGATGGCTGTCGTCTTTAGAAAGATTTGGGTATCAGCTGTGCCAGAGAAACCTCTTATCTTTTCCCAGCATGTGCTATGGCCGCTGCCCAGTTCTGTGGAGCTGAAGGACGCCCACCGGCGTAGAGCTGTTAATGTTCATCTTTTCTTTCTGTTTGGTGATGTAGAACATCTGCCCATATTCTTACTAATCATTTGCATGTCCTCATCTGTTTTCATCTGCTCTTTTTTTCTCCTGGGATTCTTGTTTTCCTTGGTGATTAGAAGCTTTGCCTTGCCCATTCCATCCACACTGTGGCGCTTTGTATTCTCCTGTTGCAGCGCGCTCGCTGGTCTCCTCGCAGTTTGCTCTTGGTCTGCTGGCTTTGCTTGACTTCAGTTCTTGAACAGAAATCTTCGACCTGAGTGTGGCCAAGCCTGTCTGCTCTTCCCTTAAGGGCTTATTCTTGGGAGTTTTGAGGCATCATCGTAGTCTTATTCTCCACTAGATTTTTAGCTTTATCTCTCACACTTAGGTCATTAGTCCATTTGAACTTTATTTATTGAATGTACAGCAAAGAGGGTTCTAATTTAATTTTTCTGCATAAAGTAAGAAAACATTATGTAATTTAGTCTCTTCCCCTGACTTGTGACACTGAAATACTGAGTTTATACACGTTTCCTGACTCGGTTTTGGGTCCTGACTCGGTTTCCTTGGGTATGGTTGTTTTCAAATACGATGCAAGATGTATTACAAATAATTTGTTGCTAATAACAGATGAGCTAATGAAATGGGGGAATGGGTTCCCACTGTAAAATGGCTTATTTTCATTTGGGTGCATAGTCTTCAGTGGGGCAGGAGGGTGCCAGCTGCCAGCTATTGGTGTGTTGGGGGTTGTTGCAAGTGGGCCCTTCATTCAGCATGCTGGACTCTGTGGGCCACAGATACTCTACACAGCAGCTTATGCAAACATGAGCTTGGTCCTTCCTAAGATAACCTGGGGGCAAGACACAGCCTCTCTGAGTTTCAATTTCTTCATCTGCATAATGGGAATAATAATGCCTGTTCTGACAAGTCTACAGAGAAACTCTGGTCAAATAAGACTGTGAAAATACCTTGTAAACTAACACTGGTGTATAAACATGGTAATGTTGCTAATTATTATCTAGGCTATTCCAGGGTTAACATTTCGTCCCCTACTGGTTCGGTTATAAAACCAAGTGAATTTTGTAATAGAGTGTGGTACAAAAAGAAGGGAAAGGGGGTTGGGTGTGGTGGGAGGCAGGAGAATCACTGTGAGTTTGAGGCTGGTCTAGGCTCTCTCTGTCTCTGTCTCTGTCTCATTCTCTCTCTCTCTCTCTCTCTCTATATATATATATATATATGTATTATTGTGTGTGTGTGTGTGTGTGTGTGTGTGTGTGCGTGCGTGTGTGTATATATATCATTAACTCGAGACCCTGTCTCCAAAAAAAACCCCCCAAAATTCAAAAGTGAAAAACACAACAAAATTCCCAGAAAACAAAATAAAGGAAAAGAGCTCCAAATGGGCGATTATTTTCCCACCTAGTTGACTTTCCACTGCTGTACATTTTTAAAAAGGTATTAAGTGTGACTAGAGGGATGGCTCAGCAGTTAAAAGCACTAGCTGCTCTTGCAGAGGACCTGGATTTGGTTCCTAGTACCCACATGGTAGCTAACAACTGTCCATAACTCCAGTTCCGGGAGATATGTTGTCCTCTTCTGGTCTCCATAGGCTTTGCATGCATGTGATGTACTTATATACATGCAGATAAAACATTCATGCACATAATAAAAACAAATAAATCAAAAATTAAAAGTATCAACTTCATACATTGTATATATGTGAAAATTTCAAAGAATAAATATAAATAAAAATATTTTATTTATTTATTTATTTATTATTTATTTATTTTAGTTGAGACAAAGTCTCAGTATGTAGTCCCAGATGGCTTGGAACTGGCTATGTAGAACATGTTGGCCTTAAATTGCCTTCTGAGTACTGGGATTGAAGACATGTACCATCACACCTGGCTAAAGGTGACCATTTTAAATGTCAGTGAATTAATGTAACCAAGGCCACTGGAGAGCTATTAAGGATCCCACTGACTGTGCCTTTTCTTTTTTTTTTTTAGATATTTTATTTATTATTTATTATTTTATTTTATGTGTATGAGTGTTATGCCTGCATGTAGGTAAGTGCACCTGTGTCGTGAAATGCCGGTGGAGGACAGAAGAGCCTTTTGGATCCCCTGGAACTGGAGTTACAGACAGTTGTTAGCTACAATGTGGGTGCTGAGATTCAACCTGGGTCTTCTGCAAGAACAGTCAGTGTTCTTAACTGCTGAGCCATCTCTCCAGCCCCCTCCCTGACTGCACCTTTTCAAAGTCATTTCCTTCTCTCTCCTCCAGCGCTGTAAGCTGGAGGCCGCTGTAGCTGAGGCAGAGCAGCAGGGTGAGGCGACTCTCAGGGATGGTCGCTGCAAGCTGGCAGGGCTGGAGGAGGCTCTGCAGAAGGCCAAGCAGGACATGGCCTGCCTGCTCAAGGAGTACCAGGAGGTGATGAACTCCAAGCTGGGCCTGGATGTGGAGATTGCTACTTACCGGAAACTGCTGGAAGGCGAGGAAAGCCGGTGAGGACAGGCATTCTCAGGTGTGGGTATTTCTTCACACCTTCATTCAGGTCTGGAATAGTGCCTCAGCAGACGAGAATCCTCCAGGCAGTGGAGGGTCAAATAGGGATCATTTTAAACTGATCTTACAGATAGGGAAACTGAGGTCCAGAGAAGAGGAGGGGCTTGCCCAGATCACAGCCCATGGTAGCTAAGCTAAAATGGCATGAGTATTCTGCAAAAGCAGAGGAAGTTAACTCTGACAGCTCTTCTCTCTTCTCCCCTGCAGGTTATGTGAAGGTGTGAGCTCAGTCAACATCTGTAAGTTAGGTGCATGGCTCCTTGGGTGTCCATAATCTATTAGGTTGCATCTGTGTGGGAACTCAGCCTATGGAGTATTGGGTGGGAGAGACCAGAGCTGAAGTCTCTGAAAAAAATAGATTGATGGCCCTTACGTATTTGTCCCCTACATGGATCCATCTGGAATACCACAATTGGTTCTGCGAAACAGCCTGTTTTTCATTATGTATAGGAAACTCCTCATGTGACCCCATGTTTTAATATGAAAAAATGCTAGGCTTAGGTTTACTGTCGCCTCTGCAGATGGCTGGGAACTGCTGGTCTTAGGCTACTGCTGTTTACACAGCCCCTGAGCAGATGTCTGCTTCTGGCCCAGCCAGCCCCTCACCTTTCCAGCAGCTGTAATTCTAGATGGCTCCTCAAGTGTGACCCAGCAGTTTTTGCTTCTCTGCTATACAAACACCTCAACATTGGTCTGGTCCAAGCGGAGTGAATGTCTAAATTGATAACCATGTTCCTCAAATAAGCAGATGACAACACGTAGAGGTTTGCCTGTGCTTTTAAAAGACTCAGGCTGCTGGTCCTCAGAGTGTGGATAGAGTTCGTTTTCTTGGGTTACAGCATGTCTGGTATGAAGAGATCTTTGACTTGGTGTCTCTGTTCACAGGTGTGAGCCGTTCCCAGGGAGGTGGCATGATCTGTGGGACCCTCAGTTCCCCTGTCTCTCATGGTCATCAGTGGTAATGCCTGCTGCTCCCCCTGTGTAGTGGGGGCCTGCTCCAGTGCAAGATTGGTGCGATTTGCATAGACAGGGCTGGGATTCTGGACTCCTGGGTCTGTAGGGGACTGTGATGGGGTAGGAGGATCATCTTTTCTCTTGTGGCCTGAATGCCAGTTTAGCAACTCCTTTTCAGGGGGCCTAGAGTAACCCTCAGTTTTCTTCTTCTTGGAGTTATTTACTCTTTGAGAATAACTCCTGGGTTGGGCATGGAGCTAGGCAGAAGTGTGTGCAGCATTTGGGAGCAGATTTAGGCTTTGCCCTTGGATGACGGGGACGGAAGATGCTGCCCCAGCATTGAAAAGGCAGAGGGACAATGCAGTTGGGGCTTTGGGGAAGCCCTTCACTGTGTCTGAGACCTCCAGCTATTCAAACACCAGGATGGAAAGGCTGCTGCGGCGAATCAGTGAAGTTGGTGCTGCTGTTGGGATGGTGTTGCTTTTTTTGTGAGGTCTGTACGCTCCTTTCCTTTGGTGCACTTGATTAAAGGTTAATGGTAAAAGGCCTTTTTGTAGTAGCTGAGTGCTTGTCTTCTTCATTGCTTTCCCTAGCCCACCCAGAGCTCTGGTTGTTTTGGTGTTTCTCAGTCATGGCTCCTGTGTGATGTAGATCAATCAGTATGTAGATCGTGGGAACTCTGGAGCATAAGTCTACAGTTCTAGGAACCAGTCTAGGAATCTACATATCAACAAGCTTCCAGAAGATTCCTGTGCTGACCAGATGGAAGACTACTGGATGGAGTAGACAAGGGAAGAAGAGAGTTACCCTGGACTAACAGCTTGGGCTATACAGCAAGGTGGTGGGGGAAGGGCCAAGAGGCCAAAAGGAAGCTTACATTAAATTGAGCACTCCCCAAGAGTCTGGCCTATTATGTATGCATTTTATGCATTTTTTCTCAAAAACAATGTTACTATCCCATTAAAATTATTTATTTACTTATATGTGTATGAATGTTATGCCTGCATGTATGTAAGTGTACCTGTGTCATGCATGCAGTGCCTACAGAGGCCAGAAGAGAGTGCTGGATTCCCTGGAACTGGAGTTACAGATGGTTGTTAGCTGCCATGTGGGTGTTGAGAATCGAACCTGGGTCCTCTGCAAGAGAAGCCAGTGCTCTTAACGACTGAGCCATCTCTCCAGCCCTTATTATCCCATTTTATAGACATGGAAACTAAGGCTCAAAGAAATCACTGTACGAAGACCACACTGCTGGCTCAGGATGTGAAGCTGGGTTTAGAGAATGCCAATATGCTTTTCCATGGCATTTCCAAATTGTTCCTTCAGGCTCAAATTTCTGGCTCATCTGATGCTCTTGGACAGGGTTGTACCTGGTCCTGCTCAGCTAATTGTCATCCTTTCAGAGGTAAGAGATGGAAAAGGCATGAAGCTTCCTGTGAGCATTTGTACTGTAGCCTCTGCTCACCAGGAATCTTGGACAGATTTTAGGATGGCTCTTTGTGTGAGGACCCAGGTTTATATCTCAGAGCTCTTTTGGAATCTCTTCACTGATGACCTAGACAGAAGTGGTTGGTTCCTGAGCTGATAGTCCCAAGAAGTCCCATCTGAAGAGGCCTGCTCAGAGTTCTCCCAGCACAGTGGGATGAGATAAAGACAGGTTTCTGATAGACAAGTTTCTTTACTTCTTCTACAGGGAGAAATCTACTTCCTGTATACTATTTAGTACTTAAAGAAAACTTTAAAAAGACATGACTGGGGGGCTGGAGAGATGGCTCAGCTGTTAAGAGCACTGACTGCTCTTGCAAAGGACCCAGGTTGATTCCCAGCACCCTTATGGCAGCTAACAACCATCTGTAACTACAGTTCCAGAGGATCTGACACCTTCTTCTGACCTCTGTGTGACACAGGTGCCCTTATACACATATGCAGGCAATACACTAATATACATAAAAATTTTAAAAATTAAAAATAAAAGACATGACTGGGTAGAAGATATTTTGCCATAAGAATATGCATTTGTTCTCCAAAGGTAGCAAAGCCTCTGGACAGTTCGCCATGGCAACAGAGATGTCCTGATGCTTTCAGATATGTCCCGCCACTGCCTCAGTGGTCAGATCACTGTAGGGAATTCACACTTCCCCTCTGAAGGTCTGGATTGAGTCTTCCCAGACAGACTGATAGACAAGCTGGAGAAACACTTACCACTTTCTTCATGTGTACATGTATAGGGGCCACATGTGAAAGATGAGACTCCAAAGAGAAAACCAGATAGTTGAAGTTAAGCAGCATTTTGAACTACAGCGGAAATAGGGCTTGAGGTTCTTGGGGGTAGATGATGACAAGTCATGGGAGGGTAAATGTACTGTGAATGAAGACCCCCACCCAGGCCACCTCTGGGGGCTCCTTACAGGAGGCAGATGAAACGTATCTGGGCTTTTGTTGATGTTTAGTTTTTTCTATTCCTTAGCAGTTAATCTTTTTGACTTTTTAAATGAGATTCTTATGGAATTTTCTTTTTGAAGAAGTTTCCTCAGTTGGACTGGGAGAGAAAGAGCCTTAAGAGATAGTGGGGTAGGGAGGTCAGAGAGACTTTGACTCTAGTATTGAGGAGGGGGAGGAGTCCACAGGGTATTGGCTGCCCTAGAACAAGTAAATTGGGGAAAGATTCATATTTCTTTCTCAGTGGACGAAGGATAATGATGGTGATACTGGTGGTGTTGCTGTTGGTGGTAGTGATACTGGTGATAATAGTGATGGTGACAGTGGTGATGGCGATAGTGGTGATGGTGACAGTGGTGGTGGTGACAATGGTGGTCATGATGGTGATGGTGATGGTGGTGGTGACGGTGGTGATGGTGACAGTGGTGATGATGATAGTGGTGATGATAATAGTGGTGATAGTGGTGGTAGTGTTGGTGGCTGTAGTGAGATGGTGGTGCATATGGTAATGGTGATGTGGCTTTAGTGGTGGTGGCCATAGTGATGTGCAGTAGAGCTGGTGGTGATAATATTGGTGGCTGTGGTGATGGTGGTAGCCATGGTAATACTACAGTAGCAATAGTAGTGAGTAGCCATGGTGATCGTGGTGATGGTGATGCTAATGCTGATGGTGATGATAGTGGTGGTGGTGATAGTGATAAATGGTGATGGTGGTGGTGGTGGTGATGGTGATGATGATGATGACTGTGATGGTGATGGTGGGTGGGTGATGGTGATGACTGTGATGGCAGGGGTGGTGGTAGTGGTAGAGGAAGGTGTGTATTTATCAATCTGTGCTTTGGGCATTATCTTCATGATAATGTGCTGACCCTACTCTCTTCATTTCTGGGCTGCTATCATTTCACCACCACCGTCCATTAGCTTTAATGGAATAATGGGACACACTGGGGCTTCCTTGGCTTTTGAACAAAGCAGAAATGAGCAAGGGTTTCCAGGGCACACAGGTGAAGTCTGGAGGAGGCAGAGTAGCACTGTGAAAGAAGCCTTCCCAATGCTTCCAGTCAGGTCCCCACACAGAGAACAGAACTTAGTGCTTATGTCACAGTTGCCATAATGTTCAATAAACAAACACTTTGTAGGGTCACTTTATAATGTCCACATCCCCAGAGAACAGCATTGAAGGGAATAGCGCAGACAGGACATGATTTCCAGGTGCTCATCTCACTGTGGAACTCACGGCTTTCTTGGTAGAGTGTCTAACTTGTGTTTTTCACGGTGCTTGACTCAGATGAGCAATAATCCAAAATGGTTACTTCCCAGGACCACAAAGACTCAACAGAGATCAGTGAACGACACAGGGGTAGGAGAAGGAACAAGTCCGGGGGTGTTTGTGAGGATGATCAAAGTAGAGGGGGCTTGAATCTTGCTGGAGGAGAGTTGGTGTCTTCAGACCCGGAAGGAAAAGACAACTCAGTGTAGGCTTATAGTTGTTTTGCAAGAGTTACAATGTAAACTTTCAAACTCTTTGGAGCCTGATCAGATTCCCAGAGCTCACTTGCTGCCAGTCCAACCAACCACTGAGCACTGGGTTCCAAGAGAGACTCAGATAAAGTCACGAGCAATCAAAGAAGACACTTGATAAAGACCTCTGGCCTCCATGTGCATGCCCACATGCATACACACAGAGACACACAGACTTAAAAAAAATAAAACTTAAATCCTTAGTTACTTGGATAGTTCCTGTTGCCTTGCTGAGGGAATATAGAAAGGGTTTCAGGAGCCCCAGAGCCCTGTCATCCAAAAGAGCTGATTCTAGATCTTTGCTGCTGGCTGCAGGGCGTCTGAGGGAGAAATTTCCAACTTCATGGGCACCGCCTATCTAGGACATTGGTTGACTGGTCTTTGTGAACAATGCACAGTATTAATGTTCTCCAGATCATGACTTTCATTTGCCAGTCTTCAGTGTCACGATTTAGGGTTTTGGGTTTCCTTGTCCCCCATTCTTGATGAGATCAAGTTGTTTTTCCCCAGCATGAATCCACTTCAGCATCTGAGATGCCCAGGAGGTGGCAGAGCTGGGAAGCGTATAACCCTTTCTTATCAGGAGCCCCACTGTTGCTCAAAGCATGGAGGCAATTCTTACTGAAGATCTCACCAAGACCTGACAATCTCACCAGAATTGGAGCTCAAATTTTCATCTTTTGATTTTTCAACCTCTGAAATTTACAGGCTAAATTCCCTGTGTCTTAAATGACAAATGACAGTGACCTTAAGCATGTTGTCAAGGCCCAGAGAGCCAGGAGGAAGGAGGGTAAGGTAGGACACTTGCAGGAACCTGCCTGAGGTCACCTGGCAAACCTCAAACAGAGCAGCCAGCACTCTCCAGCTGGGTTATCATCCTTTGGGCTTGAAGTAGGGAACCAGCAAGGTGTTCTAAGTACTACGTTCTCCCAGGCAAAGAGGCTGGGAGATGGAGAGGAAGAAGAGTTGGGGCAGCAAAGGGACTGATGGACAGACATCTTCCCCCTAAGAATGACAGCTAATATATTTCCCTAATGAAGAAATGGAG